AGCCGCTCACTCAAACACACGCTCATTGGCAATGTTATAAACAAATGTCAAATTATTGATATTTCGCAGCAGAATTTCCATAAACGTATAGCATAATGCTTTTTTGCTGTTTTTAATGACATTATTTGCGATACAACACAGCTGCATGACGAAGCATGTTTGACAGTCAGAAGAAAGAGGCGTGTGATGACGATGACTAGTTATAGTCATCAGCTGTCGACAGGAAATAGCGCGAAGAGAGAAAAAATCGGCGTCAATAACAGCTAGCTAACATTAGCTTTCGCCAATTCGATTGCCAATTGCGCGCAATACATAAAGGCGATAGCTTTGCTTATGCTGTTTTCCATGACTTTTTGTACTTTACTGGGACTCACTGGTTGCCATCGGCTGAAGATACATCAGTCTTCATTATATTGGCGCCTTTCCTACATGTTGTAAGTGACAAAAACCATCAATGTTAATTTGCTGCTGCATTTTTATTACTCCAAGCAAATTTTRGTAAGAAGTGAAAAGCAAGGAAAACTGAAAGTTATCGAGGCATGGCGCGCTTATTATAATATTTAGCTGCGTGTTTACATGTCACGGTTGTGCTGCCATATACGCGCTTACGTCTCATAAAAAGCGCTTCGCATTTGAAATTTATGCAAATTTCAAGTGAACAACTGCCGTTCCATTATACAAGCAACAAACAACCACATAAAATACATGTGTATTGCAGTCACAATAGAGTGTTGTAAAGGCAAAAATAGCACGAAGTGAAGTGACAGCTTCGATGGCAGGCAATGACATTGAGCGCTTGATATGCTGTCGCTGCCATTTGAATTGATAAAGTCAGCCAGTCAGCCAAACCGCAACGCAAGCAACCAAAAGCAAAGTGAAGTCAAGCTGGCAAGCCAACCCACATGTTAAATTATGCAAATTTGATTTCTATGAATGAATGAAGTGTGGAATGAATGACAGTGTGATGAGCTGCACACACTCGCACACASATGTGCGTGTGTTCATATGATTGACTGCCTGGCTGAGTAAGTGGTTGCCTGCAAGTCCGCGTGAGGCGTTTAAATGACGGACGGTGTCTACCCTCATTGTGAAAATGCGCAAATGCGCGATCGTAAAGAAGGGTGCTCAAATGTTTTTTCTTGCCTACATGCGGGCGCTTTAGCACACATGTGGCTCGTTTTCAATGCCGACATGTGTACATAGTTTTAGTCGCATTGAGGGTACCCTTTGWGTGTTGATGGAATTTAGAATTTAATTCTTTACTAGAACTTTTACATTTAGAAAAATTTAAAAAAAAGGTTAAAATAAATATTAAAACAAAAAAACTGTAAAAAAAAGTTTAAAAAACAATTTTGAAAAAAATTAAAAAAAAAAAGAATTTTGAAAAGAATATTTTGAAAATTGAATTTGTTAAAAAGAATTAAACAAGAAAAAAAAGTTTTTTGGAAACAACTTGAATAATTTTTTTTATGGTGGGTAGTTGGATATAAATGCATAAGAAATTTTTCTGCAACATTTTTTTTCGAAAAATRTATGTTATAAACTATAGATCATTATGACAAAAGTTTTAACGCGATTTTTTTTACATTTTTTTAACATAAATTTTACAAACATAAGAAGCTATATTGCAGAGACGTGCAAGACATTGTCTTGGTTTAAACCAATTTCGGAAGTATTTTTCAACCAACTGCTATTATCTGGAGGGAACACTTCTGCAGCCTGCTGAACAGCAGTGAAATAGTAGACATGGAGAACCCGATACCTCAAATCGATGATGACCTTATCAGTATGCCTTCACCTACGCCAAATTGGAAAAGACCAGAGGGAAGGTATTCGACTTAAAATCCCCTCGATCAACAAAGATGATCCAACTCTAAAAGGCTTCAATATTCCATAGCATCCTGCTATAGGATGCGGAAAGAAAGTTCATGCTGAAGATTTATGATCATGTGCATATACTGCAGTATATGACAGTTAAGATTTCAAAAAAAAATATTTTGGAAATTTGGAGGTTAAGTGGTCCAACTAGTGTAAAATCATAAAGAAAAGCGATCTTTCAGCCCAAATTTTCACACGAAACGAAATTCCCTGGTATTTGAATGGGTTAGTAAATATGGAATTTAGTAGCACAAAATATAGAATTTACCCACTTCTATTGCGAAATAGTCTAAACAACATGTTTTTGCTGAACAAAGACACTTTATACGCCATTTCAATGTTGAACAATATATTTGCTTTAAAGCGCAAAAAGGTAAAAACTGGAAATGCATAAAAATTAGGCAAGAACAAAGCAATGAAAACAATAGCAACTGGAACAACAAAGATGCGAATAAGGAAGAGAGGGAGGGATGGGGTCAAATAAAAAATACAATGACTATTATCATATGCAAAAGTTCAGCGTTGCAAACAACAAAATTGAGAAAGAATAATAAAAAAATGCGCACAATGATAATAAACAAACAAAGAATATTAAACAATACAGTTGGAGGAATACAACAAAAACACACACATACACACAACAGAAAATGTGAAGAGTGTGTACGGAAGTTTAAAATAAAAAGCAAAACCAAAAAAGCATAGATAAAATACAAAAATGACCAAAGTTAGAATACAACTTAAAATAATCACAGAGCAATGACGCATAACAAAAGATATGCAAACACTGCGCAAAYAACAACAACTAAGTGCTGCATAGTAATACACGCGGGAAAGAAACGAACTAAATACAACTAAAATGGAATAATTTTCAAAGTTTGACATAATAAAATAAAATGTTACTGCTTTGCATGCACATTTGCAGTTGCGCCCAAAARCAGACTACAGCAAAATGGCAGCACATTTAAATATTTAACTTTGGCATAACATTAAATAAAATTTTATGCCAGCGCATGCAGCGCGCTCCCACGCCGTTACTATGAAACTGTATTTTGAGCATATGTGCCTGTGTGTTGCACGCTCAGCGTTGCCACAAAGTAAATAGCGCGCAGCGAAAAGTYAACCAAGCGGGCAAACATATCGCCAGTTAGCCAGTCGCTTAGCTGGCGCGGCAGCCGCCCAGCCATTCAGCCATTTAGCCCTACGGCCCAATGAACCATGCGACCAGGCGGCTAACAGCGCGCGGCATTGCATTTAATAGACGAGGTTTCGGTATGCGACACGGCACTTTAATTGAACTGTTTACTTCATTTTTATAAATGTTAAGTTGCTATACACACATACTACATATATGAATGTATGTGTGAGTGCTTGCTTGTTTGTGTTTACATTGATTGCTGCAGAGTATATGTAATTGTTATTGTTATGTTTGTGATTATTATTTGGTTCAATGCACCAGCTGCCGCACGTTGCTCAGTTGTTTGCTAGTGGCTTTTGATGTTGGCTGCCGCGCCGTATTGCATATCAATGGCAACATCATTATCAACGGCCAGTGGTAGCAGCCATGTTGCAAGTAATGCTTACAGCAACAACTACTATAACTGTTGGCGATTATAGCTACACTGAAATGATTGGTATGTCTGTGTGTGTTGTACAATAATTGTTACAAYGTCAGCATTAACTAAAACTTCAGTGCGGCAACGAACGCGTGCTTTTTTAAGCTTTCCATCTTTATTTAATGCATGTGCTTTTTATTGCATATAAATAAGGTTTAAAGCTAAAAATTTAAGTTATCGAAAGTGCTTTGCTGGTTTAAGAGGAATATAGGAAACAGCCGTTGAAACATATAAGGAAAGGTTTTTCTCTGATGGCAACTTGTAAGTACTTTAATTAAGTTGATTTATTAAAAATAAGATTCCTAAACTCAATTTGAAGTAGTTGAGTGCTTGCAAAAGGTAAACGCGTTCAAAATTGAAGATATATGTAGAAGGAGTTATAATAGTGAAAGCTCAATGAAAGCTTCTAAATGAAATTGTAAATGCGTAAAATGCTTATGAAAGCTCTTTAAAATGATACCAAGAAGTTATAACAGTGAAAGCCCTTTGCAAAGAAAGTTTTTTAATGTGAGCTCGTAAATGTATATGTTTAAAATATTTTAGAAAGCTGGAAAATGAAACAAAGTATACAATTAGTTTTAGAAGTGAAAGCTCGTAGAAAAGAAATATTAGCAAATAATTTGAACATCTTTACTAACCAATCTGAATAAAAATTAGTACAGTGTTTTTCTAGGGAATATTCAAAATGATGAAAGCTTGAAGAAACGAAAATTCGAAAATAGATTTCTTTTTGGTAGCAATTAGTAAATAATTTCATTATCACTACAGTGAAAGCTCCGAAAGATGAATGTTTTATAGAACCTCAAAAAAGTGAAAGSTTATAGTAAAGGAATCCCATAAAATAAGTGGAGTGCTCTTGTCAATAATACAGTGAAAGCTCAATGCAAGTTAGTACAGTATTATTGTAGRGGAAGCTCGATAGCATGATATATTTCAATTTTACTGCTACCGGCTATAATTTTGTTAGTAATAGGTAGAAAAGTTTGCTACCACTAGTGTGTGCCACTAGAGAGTGCTGCAAAAGAATAAACCTTTAAATACTGAAAGCATAAAAAATATTTTGGGCTTCACTGCTATAGCGAGTAGTTTTGGTAGGAATAAGTAAAGGAATTCAGTATTAACGCAGTGAAAGGTCAAAAAGCTGAAAGCTCTTAATAATGAAARCTCAAAAATAAATTTCGTTTTCACTGCTATCGATAATGGTATTAGTACCAATCAGTTGGTTGTTTCACTTCTGAACTTGTCTTTACTATTTCTTTACTTTTTCTTTGAAATTTTGGAGTACAATATTAATTTGTGGATAGTATGTATATTCAGTAAAATCTGGGTTCTTCATTAAAATCACTTTTTAAACATTTCTGCTGCTCAATTATTGAAGTATTGGTTTCTATACATAAATTTTAAATACTTACTTTATTTAACGATAAATGTTGGAAACTAACAAACTACAATTACACACACATAGATCAAGGAAATACAAGAAATATGCAAAAAATCGTTTGTACTCACCTTTGCTGGCGCCTTCCGGACCACGCAATATGGTGCACTCTTCTATGCTGCCAAATGGGCTGAATATTTGTCTAACATCCTCTTCGGTTTGTTGCTTGCTTAGCATACCAACGAACAGTTTGCGATCTAAATGCTCTAAATATATTTACGATAGCCGACGTTACGCAGATAAGTAGCAGTCCATACAAAAAGGCACAAAAATACGATGGAGAGWTGGGTGTGGGTAGGTGTGGGTGTATGGGGTGATTGGATAAGGGAGTACAAGGTGAACGCATAYATTTTAATTTATTTAATTTTTTATATTTTTTTGTTTGTGGAAAAGGTTTAGTGGTGGGTGGGAGAAATTAAATAAACAAGAAAAAAAGAAAAAAGAAAGATATACAAATTATGAGTACAAGGAGTTACAAAATATTTTAACATTAGCAAAATAATATGGAGCAAAAAGTTATTTAAAGTAACACAACGGCGGTGAAAGAATAAAGGTTCATGGAAATTTAGTGGTTGGCACGAAAATGATTGGAGAATATATGCGGCGCAGCCACAAAGTCGTGGAATAATATAAATTACCGAAGAAAGTGGAAAAAAAAAAAAAAAAAAAAAAAAAAAAAAAAAAAAAAAAAAAAAAAAAAAAAAAAAACATAAAATATGTTAAAAAGGGGATGATAGGTAAAATATTGTACACAAATTTAAAATAAAGAAATTTTAATAAATATAATGAAGGATGTATACCCATTAAGTAGACAAACGAGTTGAGAGCAAATTATACGCATGTATATAAAATGTAACAAATGCAACGATATAACGAACGAACGCAACGAATGCACATTGAAACGAGCGCCAAAGTACAAAACATTACAACATTTAAATATATTTGGGATATTTAAAATTTAATTTTTTTTGTATTTGTAATAAGAAAACGTTACAACATTTATTTAAAAATAGTATTTGCATTAAAAGTTTATGGGTTTTTCATTTGTTGTTTAATTTGAGTACATTTTTTTTATTGCGTAAAGGAAATTAAAACATTTTCAGTTTGAATTTTTAAAGTTTTTTTTTAATTTTTTCAATAAATTTAAGCAGCGAGTTTTATGATTGAACGTCAAAAAATGAAAAAAGAGTTAAAAAAAAGTTTAAAAACAAAAATTAAAAAAATTAAAAAATTTGAAAAACGAAACACAGTTAGATGTTGCGAAACGCGTATTTTTATATTTTCGAATTATGCACAAAATAAAAAAAGAATTGAAAAAAGTATTTATACGAAATTCCAGCAGAAAGCGGCAGTATGCAAAATAATTTTGATTTGTTAGTAGAGCGAGAGGAAATTGTGGAAATTTGCATGTGTTCAACACGCAAGTAATATTTTCACAAATATTTTTTTTTTTGTTTTGTTGGTTGGGGAAATTTTGTTTTTCGTAAGGAAATTGTGCCAATTTTTGTTGTACGATTTTCAGCATTATTTTTTTTAGTTTTTTGATATATATATATTTTTTTTCGTTTTTATGTAGTTGAGTTGGAGTTGGTAGAGCAAAAAAAGGAAGAAAAAGAAGAAAAGACAAAAATTGTAACTTTAGTAAAAATTTTGAATAAATGTTTATCTTACTGTTTGTTTTGTGCTTACAGTTTTACGCTATAAAACTTTGTTTTAACAGTTAATGTGGCTATTGTTTTGATAAAGAGTTTTCGGGGGTTTTGTTAAAAATAAATTCGGTTAAGCAGATTCAAAACAACTGGGAATATACATAAAAAYAATAAATTCATAMTATGAGTAACGAAAACTAGCTATATAGAAGGCATTGAAAGTATTGAATGCATTTTTGTAGGATATATTTAGGCGCAGTGGTTAAAATTTTTTGAATAAAGTACCTACTTTCGAATTAGCATACAAGTTTGTACATCATCTGTACTATATAATGCAACCAAAAGTAGACAAAGAGCTATTGAAAATACTTTTGTAGCATATCTTTAAGCGCACTTAAGATAAAGGTGCCAAATTTTTAGCATAAAGTACAAAATTTCCAATAGGTACCGATTTCATTTAATACTAGCGTGTAATATTGCCCCTAAAGGTAGACAATAGAGCTATTGAAGATATTTTTGTAGTATACTTTTAAGAGCAGTGAATGCAAAATTCTAGAATAAATTAAAAATTTTAGCAGTTGTTTTATTGCACATCCTAGCTGGTTTTGAATCTGCTTGCTATCGAAAGTTCTCAGCCTCTCTCTTCTTTGTATAGTTTTCCTAAAAATAATAATATACTTACGAATAAGTTTTACGAATACTCAATAAAAATGCGACCACACATACATATGCACAGCGATACGAAAAATTACAATACGTATACATTTATATAAAACTTTCAGTCATAGCCACTACTTAAAAACCGCACAGTTCTTTATTAAATAAGTTATATATGTACCTGATGGCTTAGCTGCTTGATTTATCGGCGSTAATAAGCTGTTGAAATTTTAATAAAAATATATGGCGAAAATCATAGTCATAATGTATGTRTGTAATATTAAAAGGCAAATTTTATAAATACCACAGATTATTAAGCACTTATATTTAGAATATATTTTTGAATTACTCGTGCAAAAATGCGAGGAAGCTAAGTGTTTTGTTGAGCTAGCTTTGGAGCCATTAAAATTTTGAAGTACTAGGTAGATTTAGTGGCTAGGAAAACATTTAGCATAGATTTTGGCGTAAGGGGAGTTTGTAAATATATAGTAATCCTAAAAGTAATGTTGGGGGAATAGCACAGAAACCAGACTTTTTTCCTAAAAAGCAAATATATTGCTTAGATATATAACCGAGTGATATKTATATGAGTTTGATTAAAATATTATGTGTCAATATTGTCAAATAAGAAAATTATGTTGAGGGTGAGGGTGAGTGAAGAAGAGAAAACTCCAGAAGAAAATTCATAATTCGGTTTACATAGATACCCCTGCATTAACTAGAGTTTTCAGTTTAACGAACCTACTCCGCTAACTCGAGTTTGAGGGTTTTCTTTTATGTATGTTGAGAGCGCAGAGTTGAATATTTTATATTTAGTGCACTTTCGGTTGGCACATCTATTTCGAGTTTAAGATTTTGTATTCATATTTGCCCTTCAAGCATTCGCGTTAGATATTTACGAAGTTATTGGGGCTGTAGAAGTATTTAATAGGTTAGCTTAAACTTTTAAGCTTTGCTTCAAAAATTGTCAAAAAGAAACTGTGTCAAATAAATACTACAAAATCATTTTCATGATTTACAACTCAATAATACCATTAGAAGTTTATAACTTATCTCGACGTTAAGGTTCTGTGTTCAGGTAATATATTCTTCATATGTTTAAGAAGATGTCGGAGCTATAACAGTAGTCGATTAAACATCTTCAACCGGGAAAGGATTGTCAGTGATGTAAGAAAAAGCAGGCAGAACTATCAAGCTGCAACAAAAAATCATGAAAGAGTATGAAAATGCATACATTTCTAAACATATTATACTTGTATATACGACCATGTACAGTATTTGCCCCGCAGCTGCGAATTTATTATAAAATAAGTGCTTAGATAGCTTCAGATATTACTGAAAGCAATTATGAGCTGTAATGAGCAGCAAAAGAATACTTGCCACACACTCACACACACACATATGTAACTGTATACGCACAAACATAGCTGTCAGCATTTAGTCCAAAATTACCGTGATACAGCCGCAGGCGCAACATGCGAAAATAACAAAGCTAAGAAGTAGAAAAAAATTGGAACAAAGACAATGGCAGCAATTGTGGCAAACTGCTTACCCATGACTGAACTTGCAGCGCTAACTTGCCTGCCAACTTTCGAGTTAAGTGTATGAACTCCTTTTGGAAGTGCATACTTCCTAGCTGATACTTAATATGACCAAACTTTTACCATTAAACTGGCTTATTGTCTGCATAAATGTGTGCGTGATATAGCAAAACGCATGAAGCAAATGTGGGAGCGCTTTTATACTGTGTATATGTGGGCATGCGTATGCTTGTGTGTATTGTTGAAGGACATATTGCTGTAGTTAAGCTAATAATAGCCAGAGTACTTTTCATTTGGCTCAGCCGACTACAAAAAGGAAACTAAACACATATCAAAGATGCACACACACATGCATAAGTGGCAAAACGCAGGCATTTATAGATATAAATGTGCACGCTGCTCAGCAATTCAACTCGAGCGGCGAGGAGACCATTGGGTCTCTTGAATATTTATACATATGTATGCGGCGTAAAACTTACAGGCAATAGCTTCATTGGCAACAGATGGCGCATCAAGGAGTAATTGCGCACAAAGCAACAGTGTGTGTTTGTGTGCTTGCTTGCTTGTTGCAGGCAGTCTTCTTCTTGACCGCACTAAAATTTAAAGCAATAAAAGTAAAAATAAAATTGCTTGACATATTGTGCAAGCAAAGTGGCGAGCAAGCTGTTTATATACAATTATTGGCTGTTGTTTGTAGCAAATGTGTGTGCTTACGAGTAAAATTGTGTATATGTGTTAGCGCTTAAATGGTTATGTGTTGCACCTGCTTGCTGCTAATTACAAATCTTGACACATTTGCACATAAAAACAGACCTACAACATGTTGAAGGTCGTTAGTGGCACTTTAAATGGCTTTAAATGATGTTTGTATGAATTTTGTAGCATAGCCAAAGGCGAATTGGTTGAATTAAAACATTTTGAGCACAATTTTGCCGCGAGGTGTGCACTTTTTCGATATTAGAAGTTTATTAAAAGGTAAACATTTTTATACACAAGCTGTAGCACAGTGTTGAGCAAAATAGGTGCAGCCATAAAACACTTATTTTTACAGATTTTAATATTTTTTCGTATTGTTGGCCACAATAAGGTAAAATTTAAAGACTTTTATTGCATAGTATGATATAGTTCAATAATTTTCTCTATGAAAGCCATCACTCAGCCGATTATTCTGAGCTCTAGGCAGAATTTTCTTTTATAAAAATATATTTTTCCTTACTTACTTTGAAGTTTTCCAACCTTTCAAGTATAAAAAAAAAGTAAGCCAGAAAATCGTTAACATAATGAAGCCCATTAGGCGCACATAGACAAGCTAAGTGGCTCCTTTAGTGCCACATGAGTCGCGCCATTTGGCAAATACAT